GTCTGTGGCTTTGCGTAACCAAAAGGTGCAACACTTTTCGTCCCTCTCTAGTCATGCACTAGGGTATCGTCTTAAAACGTTGAGGTGAGGATGTGAAGTGACTTTTTGTTTCTGTTGAGCGCTAAACTTTCACAGCTTTAACGTTCTGCTTACGTCCAATCCACTCTCTAAAGGTGTTTTTAAGCATGGCGCAACGTTAGACAAGGTTGTACCCGAAAAGGGCTTTTCGAGGGTCATTACGGGTGATGGGTCACTGATTCATCGAATAAACCACTGTACCCATAGATGGTGTCAAAGGCACACAAAAGTGGTACTCATTTATTGGATAGAAGGGGTCATTATTTAGTCCCCAGGCTAACGGAAAGGGACAATTTCTAACACACCAACGAATTTGGCTGTAGCTCCACCCCAGGTATGGAAAAATCATGTCCCAGGAGAGCGTAGTCTGGTGTTCGCTGCTTGCTTTTTGAATCATGAAAACTGCACAGGCATGCGCAAGCACACACCTCTCTACACGACACTAATCCTCGATGTAAGTGATTGCTACTGCTAGTAAGTTGCCATAACGACAAGGCGAGTTATGGCCAATTTAGCACGATAGCTTTCGTTGTGCTGGGTCTTGTCTTTTTTTATTTCAAGTTTGTAATAAAGAGGAAAAGGAGAAGGCCAAATTACTGCCGATTTCGCACCCACTTACGTAAAGACAACTGTCTCCTCTCCAAACGATGGTTCTAGTCTGCATGCTGCTGTTCTGGGTGTTGCGTTACTTTCGGGTTTTCATCGTTCAAAGTGGTGAATATCGTGGAAGTCTCTAAACTTGATATTCTCACTTCTACGAATCTTTTAATTCATTTGTGCACGATCATGTTTGAGCCCTTTTTTGGTATGGCTGAAACGAATAGTGTCACCTCACAGCGTCAATAATAATTCTGGCGGGCGCTGGGATCCCCCGGTAGACTGGGTTTCCACGCGCCCTCAACTTTGTGCCGACTGTTGGTGGGTGTTGTACTACGTGATTTTCTTTTCTAACGCTAATCACTAGTTTGTTGCGAGATCAATGATGGTCATAGGCTGGTTGTCAGCCTCTAGCAGAGGGCTGACAGCTACGCAAGCGTTGTTGTCAGTCTCTTCTCTACAATCGTGATCCATTTTCACAGGTTGTGTTTAACACAACCTTAGAGTTGTGTCAAAATGCTATTTGGAAGTGGCTAAAATCCTTAATGTCGCATTGCTGATTGGAAGTCGTCTCCTTCTTCCCGTTGCCAAAAGCATGCAGTTTAGGAGTAGCTCCAAAAAGAAATGAATTCTTCAACGATTCATAATTCAATAAAGTTTGTGTGATGGACTGCAAATGTAAATGTCCATTCGCCATCTGCTAGATAATTGTAAGTGTGATTCCGTAACTCACTGCTATGTAGCGTTGCAAATTACCACAATTGTAACTTTATGGCAAAAATTTTACCCCTCAAGCTACGAACCTTTGGATGGCGGGAAAGTGGACCCTCGGGCATTTCCCTCCTCTCCGCATCCTCCTATCTATCATGATGGTGCGGCTCCGTGCCCTGTGGAATGATTACAATCTCTTGGTGCGTTACCAGCACCACAGAACGCATAGGTTCACATACTCGTTGGAAAGTACAAATGAAATGGAAGTTCAGATGACTTTGCTCAGGTGTTAACATGGCTTTTAGCCTACTAGTGAAAACCAAATCAGTCTTTGAACCCATTGGGGTCATTTCAGTCTTCCCATATGAAATTCAAATAGTTTTATTCCACCTCAGTGACATTACGTGATTTGCTCCCTTTTTACACCCCACTTTTCCTATGTCTGTAGTGTTCGTATCTTCTGAACTCGCTTTATGGCTTTCCATACACTACAACCATTGAACACAAGCCTTCCACCCTCCCTCTCATTCCACCGTGATGCGCACCCAACCGCACCTCGGTAGAGGGGAGTGGACAGACAATATCTCGCCTTCCTCCTTCCTCCACCGCTAGTCGATCTACTTACCATCTGTTCACGCCAGCACCTTGCCTTCAGACAAACTGATGCTTCACAGTCATAGTCACTCCTTTGGCATGAGATGGAACCACAGGGAGGAAAGCCATCATCACGTTGGCCTCTTTCTCCCCTACTCCCACTGTGTGAGAGGCCAAGAAGCACTTTCTGTCAAATCATTCGCCTCCTTTCCATGCACTCACTCACACACATCGCTAGTGGACTGGCAGTGAAGTCGCTTCGATCAACCGCAGAGTCGCACCAATGCAGTCAGTGTAAAAGGAAGTGGAGTAGGTGGTGGTGGGAGAGAAACGAGAATGCAATAAATCATGTCTCAACGAAAGTGTGAAGCTGTGGTTTGTAATGCTGTCGTGTCTCTACTTGTCTTTGCTTCAACTTGAGGTGAAATTACCTTGAGGTTTATGCCTAAATTTGTTGTGAATGGAAGGTGTGAACGCTATGTACGTTTGAGTGTCGGCTTTCATCAATGGTGCTGTCGCCAGTGGTGTATGTAAGTAGAAACCGTGACCTATTTGACACTGAACATATCCCTAGGCAACGGTGAAGGCGGCGATGAGGAGATGCTGTTGTTAAGAGGAGAAAGTGATTGTGTATTTGCTTGAACCCATGAGAGGCAGTCGTCTCGTCATTCCACCTTTCAACGTTAGTGAATGGATGGATACACTTTTCAGCAAGTGCGTATTTCACGTGAGTAGCAGGAATGGATTGGCAGACACCCTTGAAATGGCACCACACCCATTGCGATGCAATCCTTTGCGACAAGTCAATGCTGAGAGGTACTACAGCAATGACGGAAGCACTTCGTCACTTACGTTTTGCACGCTTTTCCTCCTCAGCGAATCCACTTTCCTTCTGAGCCCTTTTGGGATCATATGTAAAATCAACAAATTCCTCTTTTTCCCCCTACCTTGCGGCTAATACGAGGCAGCGGTGCTATAGAAGGACCAACCACAATCCCACACAGAGAGAGTGGTTAGTGGTGTGAACTCGGAAACCTCAGTCATTGTGAGGACTAACGAAATGTCCACAAGGACACAAACTCTTTGAAATTTCAGTGCTCACTTCAACAGAATCCATTTGAGTACGATGCACATGGTCTTGAATCGGCATAACCACATCTCCCTTCCAAGCAAAGTGTTTACTGCAATCTCATCCCCTCCTCTACACTGTCAGGGATCGGCGGAGGTGGTGGAGACGCTGCACATGCGAGCCAGTGACCTTCAACCAATGCACCAATAAATGCTACAATGCCGAATCCTACCGCGTTTTTCTGCCTTTTGTGGATGTGGGTGTGTGCGTGTGCATGTGCGTGTGCGTGTGCGTGTGCGCGTCTGTCCATGTGCTTGTTCATGCGTGGTGGAGTAGAAGGTTTTGTGCCTACTTGATTGCCATCATTTCCTCTTTTGTCGCGCCTCTTCCACACCACAACGCAGCAAAACGGCATCCGCCGAGACTTGAGGCATTGTTCCACAGTGAGCTGGTGCCAAGTTCCATTGACTCTTGCTGTTGTTGTAGGCAGGGGAGAAGGAGGAGGAGGAGGAGGAGGAGGAGCTTTTGTTTGCCTGCAATACTTACAAGGCTTTTTTGATGAAGTTGAAGGGAGAGACACGATGGTAGCCGCTTCTCCCTTTTTTGGAAGCATTCCAACTACTCATTGTCGAATTAGGTTTCTGAATGTTAAGTACTCTTATGTGTTATGGAAATTTGGTCTTCTTTGTGATCCGTCTTGCCTGCTGACTTAACAAACTCACACCATTGTTTGCATGTAACAGTCGACTTTTGTGTTATGTAAACAAGACCGTATGTTGGGTCCTTTCTGAGTGGAAGATCTTGGAATAAATTCGCCTAGCTTCTATGCCACCTTTCAGAAGGGTGAGAAGCAGGTCACAGCAATCACTAGGGTGTGTGACTTTAGCTGGCGGTTGGATGGTAATAAACCGCCGGCCTGGATTTGGTCTTAGTACTTCTTTGTGGTTTTGTTATATTTTTTGCGATTCTTCCATTTCATCATGATGGATCACTGAGGTTGGAAAGGAGTGGCTCGTTTTTCTTGAATGACCATATCTCTCTACCATTCACCACGTTCTTTTGATTTTGCCCTCTTTCTCCTCCTTCCTCAAGTTAAATGAGCCTGACAATTCGCTTGTGATTTTTTCTTCCAGCCTTAAATTTGGCCTCCTCTTAAGCACCTATTTTAAACAAGGCTGATGAGGCGTCTTTGGTTTCACGAGAGGTGTCTACGGAGTGAAGCCACCTTTGATTACATAGGACCTGCTTGACCTTCACTTCACACCTCTACTTTCATCTTCTGCACTCACATGCATCTTTGACTCTGTGTGTGTGTGTGTGAGTGACTATTGCCTGTGGTGACTAGAAAGGTGGCGCTGCGATGTATCACTTTGCGAAATCCTGTGTTAGAGGCGTCAGAGGCCTGTGTCTTCCACTGTTGGGTGTTGTCGCATCTACCCAAGTGTTTTCGACTTGAAGACACTCGCCAATATTCGATAGGGCAATTTTCTGTGTTTGAAGACGATTCCACTGTAATGTCTGTCTGAGGTATTTCTAGTCCTCTGTCTAAGGCGTAAAATGCGCAAGACTTGTGTGCATTAAACGTGATTTTCATATGTAGTAAAGTGTCAAAAGGTGACTAATTTCATACAAGGATTTGCATATGAAGGTCTGTGGATGCGACCAATCGGAAGGCATGCGACTAATCATTGTTAGTAATTTATTTGCCTTTTCAGCACCATCAGAATTGGATAGGTGTAGCGATGATGGTAGCAGTGTAGGCGTAGGTGACTAGGATGTCTTTAAAAGTATGGACTAACTCAATCCTTCCTCCTTGTCGAATGCGAAAAAGCGAGGCATTGACATAAAGGGGCAATCAGTTGTAAAACAAAGCTGATTGAAATTAGTCGTTGAGCAAAATACATGTGTAGTTAAAGGTAAGGGAAGCAGGTGCAGGTATTTCCAAACACAAATGCACTTACAAGCACGAGTCTCGTGCACCAATGACAATAAGAGAAGCGGCTACCATCGTGTCTCTGCCTTCAACTTCATCAAAAAAGCCTTGCAAGTACTGCAGGCAAACAAAAGCTCCTCCTCCTCCTCCTCCTCCCCTGCCTACAACAACAGCAAGAGTCAATGGAACTTGGCACCAGCTCACTGTGGAACAATGCCTCAAGTCTCGGCGGATGCCGTTTTGTTGCGTTGTGGTGTGGAAGAGGCGCGACAAAAGCGGAAATGATGACAATCAAGTAGGCACAAAACCTTCTACTCCACCACGCATGAACAAGCACATGGACAGACGCGCACACGCACACGCACACGCACATGCACACGCACACACCCACATCCACAAAAGGCAGAAAAACGCGGTAGGATTCGGCATTGTAGCATTTATTGGTGCATTGGTTGAAGGTCACTGGCTCGCATGTGCAGCGTCTCCACCACCTCCGCCGATCCCTGACAGTGTAGTGGAGGGGAGGAGATTGAAGTAGACATTTTGCTTGTCTGCACAAAAATGCAGGAGGAAGGAAGGAAGGGAGAAGGACCAAGATAGATGGCGAAAGAGGAAGCAGATTATGGGGTGAAGATTGCAATGCGTATGGCTCCTACTTCAGGCCTGTTCAATGATGGAGTTCATTCAAATGAAATTTTGAGCGCTGTTTCTAGTGGACACAAATCAAGATGTGGTTGTATCAAGTGGAAGTGGACACCAGCAGCCAAGCCAACCAGCCGTTGCGTAGCAGTTCATATGGAAACACTAATCCTCAAAATTCATTGGCTACTGTATGAAAGAAGGTGGTGTCCACCCAGCTCAATGGATGTGTTTGTCTTTCCTTCTTTCATTCCCCCACTCTTTCCTCGTTTTTTTCTGGGTTGACTCAGGTTAAGCTGTTGAAGTGCTTTTAGCAAGAAGATGACGTCTTGCTTCTCAACTTGTCTCGTCTCCTTTCGAAGGGCGTGTCGTTGTTGTGCGTTTGTCTGTGGGCCTGTGGGTGTGTTTGTAACTATTTGGCAGATATTCTTGTATTTTTAAATGTGCGTGCACTCTCTAGGTGGCGAAAAAAAACTACAAAACTTGGGAAATTTGTGGGGAGAGCTTATTAGTGTCTTTGTTATATCCTTTTTACTACCAGTCATGGGCGTGGCATCCATCTGCCAATGTCACGCCTTTTCTCATGTTTGCTGTAAAGGTCTGTCAGTCACGTATTGTTGAATTGGGAATTGTTCACTGACAACTTTGACCCATGTTTGAAGGCATAGACGATGGATGTGCTTTTATGGTTCATTTGCGGTTGTTGGATAAAACTAGACGTACGCAAATCGCAAACACACATATACAATTGTTTACTACAACCCTGTCCACACGATAGACTTCAGTGAATGTGCAAAAGAGGACTCTTCTTCTGCTTCCTTTCTCTTTGTTGCAAGGGATGCATAGCTTGCTCGTTTCTTCCCACTTCAGAGAGATGTGACTACGGTTCCTTTCCCTCCTTCTCTCTCCACCCCCTTCCCTCCTCATAGGCTGTTGCAAAGACAAGTAGAGACACGACAGCATTACAAACCACAGCTTCACACTTTCGTTGAGACATGATTTATTGCATTCTCGTTTCTCTCCCACCACCACCTACTCCACTTCCTTTTACACTGACTGCATTGGTGCGACTCTGTGGTTGACCGAAGTGACTTCACTGCATCGCTTGAAGTGCCAGTCCACTAGCGATGTGTGTGAGTGAGTGCATGGAAAGGAGGCGAATGTTTTGACAGAAAGTGCTTCTTGGCCTCTCACACAGTGGGAGTAGGGGAGAAAGAGGCCAACGTGATGATGGCTTTCCTCCCTGTGGTTCCATCTCATGCCAAAGGAGTGACTATGACTGTGAAGCATCAGTTTGTCTGATGGCAAGGTGCTGGCGTGAACAGATGGTAAGTAGATCGACTAGCGGTGGAGGAAGGCGAGATGTTGTCCGTCCACTCCCCTCTACCGAGGTGCGGTTGGGTGCGCATCACGGTGGAATGGAGAGGGAGGGTGGAAGGCTTGTGTTCGCTGGCGCAGTTTTATTCAACTTGTCTTTTTGGAGTTTCATGTATTGAGGTTTGGTTTTGTTGGTTTTTTCGTTGAGATACTGCATGTTCTTTTTTCTCATGGTTGATTTCAGTCATGTCGTGGAAAAATGTTCCCTTTTTTAATTGGTATTGTGTTGCAGTTCATCTCTGCTCTTATAATGCTACGAGTTTTACGTACCAATATTTTGTATAAAATTAGTGCCTCTTTTAATGGGAAGTCTATCATTAACATCGCTGTTGAAGTATCGCTTGGTTTCTACTTATTTGTGTGGTTGATTTTACTCGTCATTGACCTAATTTCATTAGTGTTCTTCATCGTCGCTGATATTTTGTGAGTAGCACTCACTAGATGGATGCTTTTATAGGGGCGGTTTAAGACTAGTATTATTGGTGTACAGTAGAATTAGAAATCAAGATTGCCAGACAAAGGGTGCAATTGTAGAGTGCAACCAGTTCGGAATTGCGCAACTCGGTAGTAATGGGTGGAATTGTGTTTTACATGTAAATCCTTTTACTCGTTTCTCCGCCTGTCCACCTTCTAGCCTTACCAGTCGTACCCTCCAAGCACACCTCTGGCCCGCCTAAGACACCGCTTCACTTGCACCACCAATGGCATTCTTCTCGAGACGCATTGAAGCCATAATTGTGGGCGCCCATGTGGTGGATCGTGAAGATACAAGTGTGCACCTATAAATGCTGCAAATTGAGGGCACTGATGGGTTCTGTTTTTTTTACCTTTTAGGCCGCTGATGGTTCTAGTCCAACGCCTGACTCTGTTGGCAGCCAACCTTGTTGATGGTCATGAAATTATAGCCGCATCAAAGAGGAATGGTGGCAATGAACAGGGTTCCGTCTACTCCAACGGTCACATTTCGAAGGGTGCAGTCGCCTTAAAATTGACGCCAATTCAAAGGGAGTATGCCGTATTGTAAGTCAGTCTCGTATCTGTAGAGTTCTCGGAGTGCCGACCTGGGTGTTTGGTCGATCATGCTTCTTGAACCCCTTTTGAACACTTCTCCTCCCTTACTCCTCTTTCTCTCGCTGGAGTAAAGTTGTCTTGAGACCTCTTGGATAGAGAAATGTCAGCAAAATTTTCCCTTTTTCACGAACTGGCTCTTAAACGCTCAGCTTAAGTTGCCTGAGTAGATTGGAACAGGACTTGAAGTAGTGCCCTCGTTAGCAGGCTTTGAGAGCATTTCATTTTGCCTGTGATGACTGGAATTGGTAGGTCGCCTCAAATATCTACTAGCGCATTTTGTCAGTGCTTCAGTTGTTTTTGCATTATGCTCAGATTTTAAATCATTTTGAAAGGCGGCGTTGACTTCCGTTTTGCGAAATTACATTGTCTCTTTTGGAAGGCAACTTGAATAGCGCTTTGTCGTTTACTAATATCTCCTGAATTTGTTACTGCTTATCGCATGATGGGGCTTATCACTTCACCCCAACTCTTTTTTCCTTGACCTCAGCATCACGCTGGGGTGTGTTCAACGCTGGTACCAAGACAGAAGGATAAGAAGCCGCAAGTGGGTGAAGCGAGACTGTAATTTCTTATTGTCTCTTTCCTTCCCCCCCCCCC